GAACAGTTTCCAGTTGTGCGCATAAGATGAGATCAGTATGCACTGATTCTATATTACTTGGTGGTCATACGTTTATTTCTCAATTGGAATTTTTGCTACTACAAATGCAGAATTGACATCATAAGTTAGATCGAGCCAAATTTTGGCATGTTTTACTTTGTTGAAAATTGAAAACTGGATTTCAACTATTAAGTTGAAACTATTAACGTGCATGGGACAAGATCAATCCAATTAACTATATCACGACCCGGTCTGGATACTCGAATTAATGAGACGAGAACGAAAAGTCGGACGGACGTAACGTTTCATTCCATTTCATAAAAAAATTACATACAACTTAATACAACTGAAGAGTCAATATTACAAAATTTTCATAAAACTATTCATACCATTTTTCATACTAAATATTTACATCAATCATAAACTTCATGTTTTCATTTGCGCGCCGCCTTCTATAAACATACTGCTCCCTTCAGTCATTTCTATTTCTCTAAAAACTTACCTGAAAATATTAGTTTAATAGGTTGAGTTTACAATATAAGCTAAGTGGATAATCTTTCTACATATAACTTTTATATATATAACATCTAAACATGTACAAAATACAATACAAATTATTTTTCTTAGTTTTTATAAAATATTAAAATTTATATAAACATTCATATAACACTTATTATACTTCATATCATTTTTTCTTTCATCATTCTTTCTTTTATATCGTCTATATACATTTTCATATCATATACATATCATCATAACAATTTAACATTATTTTCTTTTCCAATTTAACTAGTATTGGAGTATCGTCTAAATATACCAATAAGGTACAACCATTTTCATTTAACGTGTATGGGTATATTGCTTTCCTAGCTAGTACCATACAGGAGTGAACTCCTGTAATTTGCATGCATATCCTTTTTCCCTTTTCATTTGTTCATTCATGCTTTTATTTATAATTTATAAGTTATATCATTTATTTCTTCATTCTTTACTTTAATTCTTATGTATATAAGTATCATATATATATTTTTCAACTTCACATTCTATTTCCTTTACATATGCATTTATATCCATAAATATCATGTATTTGATACACATGTCAAAAGTTTATCATTACATATGCATTTGAATCACCTTACACATAATAACATCAAAATATAAGTAAAATAATTATTTAAACATTACCTTTTAAAATTTAAATAGAAGTTCAACAATAAAATGTATATACACAATTGAAATTACCCACTTTATTTGTTTTGCGGTTGTTCAATTCCTTTCAATCTTTAAATCTCAATAATTAATGTGCTCCTCTCTCCCAATTATGAAATATTTCACTGTTGATATTAATTTCATCATTTAGCCCTTGACAACTTAATAATTTCACAAAAAATCCAAAACAAATCATTAACTTGATTTAACTAACATCTTAGAAAAATTTCAAATACATCTTTTACCATAGCATTTATGGCTCTAATTCATTCCAAAATTCCTATTAAATTAAAATGATTACCTCACCGAAACTTCCCTTCCTTGAAATTATTTCTTACTCCACTGTCGAACCAAAGTTTATATTACTTGGATTCTTCCAACATAAAAATAAAAATATATTTTTTATTATTTCTTCAACAAAAGAAACGAGAAATGAAAATATATAACCTCAAACTAAATCACTTACTTTTCCTTAAAACGAAATTCCAAAGCTCAAATTCTTCTTCTCTTTTTTCCAGATTTTCTTCCCTTACCTTTAACCGAGCATTCTTTCTTGCTTAGATTAGAAATCATATGATAATTTGCACAGGAAAAAAAATCAATGAACATACCTTCATGTTTCTTCCTCTTACTCTTCCTCTCTATACTCCTCTTCTTCCTTTATGCTTTCAATCTCTTCCTTTGTCTTTAATTAAATATTTCTCACTGTTTAGAAGAGTAATTCGGAAGGATTTACATATAATGGGAAAAATCAACAAACATTAGTTCCTTTTCCTCTTAGCCACCTCTCACGATAGAACCTTCTCTTTTGCATTTTCTTCTACTGGAATGAATGAAACTGATATTTCTCACGTGTATTATTAATTTACTCCCACGTACGTAATCTCGCTCAAAACTACAAACCGACTCATCTGGATTGCATATGCACGGACGGCTTCTACTGGGTCGCAGTTTCTATCCCTCTATTTCGTCCTTGTTTGCTTGCGATTTAATAAGAAGTTGGCCCATTCAATTGAACCGGCCAGTCTAAATCGGTTCATTGCAAACTATTTACTCTAAACGCTTTACCAACAAGGTTTACATACCCACATATTATTATATTGCTCAAATCTCACCATCGCTTGGGGCAGCGTATATTTGTTGTTATAACTTTTTAAAAACTTCTTAATCATAGTTTATAATTTATTTGTCAAAAAAGCATTTCTTTCTTAATAAATTTTGGAAAAAATAGAAAAAAAAATGGTCATATAGAAATTTTTTTTTCATAGCTACTTTTTCTATCACAAAAGTAATCAAAAAGCTGTCCCAAAGAAAGTATGGGGTTTTAAGATTGTTTTAGAAGTATTGTGTGACTTGAAAGTGAGACCACTTTGAGAGGTTCAATTAGGTTTAGAGTACCCTTCTCAAGATGCCTAAGTAAACAAGGAACATGATGGTAGAGTTAATTTGGTGGTGGGGCGAAGGAGAGGATTGCAATAGAGGTTGGCCTAGGGTTTAGATCAAGGGAATCTGAGAGAACTAGGCTAACTTAAAATGATGATAACTCCTTGAATACTCTTCCAAAAACCATGAAATCACTTGTAATGGTTAATGGACAGAGTCCAATTGTGATCTGAAAATTTTTATATTTTTTAAAAAAATTTTGATATATTTTTTAAATCTAAGAAATGACTATGCACAGAAAAACAAAAATCTGGCTGATTTTGTAGGGCTGGGGTTTGTAAGAAACACAACATTTAGTGAGAGAACTTCAGAGAAAACACTTGTGGGTGGAAGGGAGATGTGTTAAGAATAAATTGAAGTTTTTCAAAAAAATTTTGGGGTCTTAGGTTACCAAACAACCACCGCAACTAAACTAGGTCTAGTTTCAGCCTTTGGTTGGCCAACCACTTCATATGGAATTAATAATGGAATATGGGACAAAATATGGTATGTGGATTTTAATGCTAAAATAATATAAAAACAACCCTCACAATAGAGAATTAAGGATATTATAGAAGATACAATGTTCATTCATTCACCTAAGTGAATGTGTAGTGAAAATCACCAAACCCTCTTTTATGGCTGACCACCAAGCTTAAGCCTCTTAGATTTGACTCTAAATGAGCTTGCAAACATTCTAACCATATCATTCTAGAGAACAACACAATTTGTAAGCATTTACAAAGCACTCAAATTACGAAGGCAGGGAAGAGCTATAGCGGCCGGCCTCCACATGTAACTACCTTCATATGAAATAATCATCATATGGAATAACCACTTCTAAGCTCCATGGTCGGCCCTCCTTTTGTAAATATTATAATTAATTAAATAGTTAATTAATATCACTTTTATAACATATTAGTATCCTCATATCATTTAGAATTTAAGCTTCAAAAATCTTGAAATTTTAATTTTATACAATCACACAGTACATATAATACATAAAGTTTAACATATATACTATATTTCACATAACATTTAAATATGAAAACTAACTAAAAATTCCCTAACTTCTTATTTTTCTCTCGGTGATGGTTTCTCCATACTCAGCTACAATTTTTTTGGATTGAGTCCTTATAGTTTGGCCTTTCTTATCATCCCTTTGCTTCTTATGCTCTTGGTGTTACACCATAGTACTTGGAATTGACCACTATCCTTTAAAATGAAATTGGATATTTATGCATGTTTGTTTTTGTGTATTTTTCTTTACTTCTATAAATATGTACATGCCCAAAAATCTCCTTTAGGCACATTGTAGTTATTTAATATGCAATGTAAGCATAATATAGTGATAGATGCATTTCCTGCATTTTAATGGCCGAGCTACAGTGGGGGCATGGCCTCCACTGACCCATCAATGAAAAAGCCCACAACAATTAATATAAAAAATTATTTTTACATAGAAATTAGAAAAGAATTGAATTCAACACCTTTTGGTTCATATAACAGCATCGGGAATCAAACTCAACACCTTTGGGTTCATATAAAAAATCATTTTAATCCTGTAAGGAATTGAACCCAGGTTCTATACAATCGTGTTTACTATTTTTTACTTAAATTATCCTTAAATCTGACAAAACTAAATAAAAAAACTTTTATGCAAATTTTTTTAATATGAAATAGAATTGCCATCGATATCTTTATTCAAAAATGCTTTGTTAGAAAAACCACAAATTTTCATCATTAAAAATTATTCTATAAAATATGTGTATATTATAAATTTTATTTTTTTAAAATTAATACTCAAATATTTAAAATGAAACAAGATAATCATAGATTTATGTGTAACAACTAGTAGAATATAGGATATAGAATTTAAAAGTTTTTTAAAAATAAATATTAATATTCTTAAAAATTAAAATACTATTTCACTAGGAACTATTAAATAGAAAGATAAAGAAATCACTCAAAAAAATATTAGGAGTATTTTAAAAGTAATCAATTTGTGCCCCCACTAATAAAAATTTTTGCTCCGGGCTTGCTTCTATTTTTTAATTTATCTTGATATTCAGTTCTTTTATAGGCTATGACCATGAATGTGTTTACATAAGCCATATTATACTCTGGTTGGAAGCACCTGATTCTGGAATTTAATTTGCTGGCACTTAAAATTATTTACTTTTTGTTTTATAAAGATTTTAGGCTAGAAAATGCTAGCTTAAATTTTTTGTGTGAATATGTATTGCTCTTTGTTTTCTATTTCTGATTGTGCAATAATATGAGTAATGAAAGCCAAATAATTCTATACCATTTCATATTTTATTTATGAAGCTAGCCTAATGTCATTAATGATTCATTCTTTATTGCAGTGAGAAGGGTATCCCAACGATCAACATTCAATTGCATGATGCTCACTGCTCACGGAATCTTAAAAAATGTTCAATTTGTGGTGAAATTGTGCCAATAAAGCTTGCTGACGAACACTTCCAAGAAAGCCATGCTCCGGTATACTGTTGATAACAAATATTTCATTTTTGTTAAAAGTTTTAATTTAATTTTTATGAGAGGTTTCCTTTTTGTTTGATATTAAGTAATTTATATTTGAATTATGAACATCAAATGAAATCATAATCACCTATTATCGATACTATAGTGAAAATGGGAAAAATATGAATGTCAAGTTGAATGTGATAAAATTATGAATGATTGAGAAAATATTAGATTATTGAGATAGTGACAGTAACATCTATTAAAAATAGAATAGTGAAAAAAAATGTTGTCTGTTTGAATATGTACAAAGAAAAATAGAAGAACCAATAAGATCAGTAGATAAAATTAAGATCATCAATTTTGGAGAAAAATTTGTCGATCAAAGGTGACTAGGGTAAAAGTTGCTCAAAAAAATTGTGCAAGACAATTAGTCGGAACAAGTGAAGAATGGAATTCATAAAATTAGCCTCAAATAGTTGGGATAAGGCTGATAATAATTGATGTTGATGGTATGAAACCATAAAAAGAAGATGTATAATAGGCTAATAACCTTTCACTAGAGTTGGGCCCATGAATTTCACATTATATTGTTTTTTATGATCATAGTATGACTTTATTTAAAACTCCAAGAAGTATAGAAGATGTATTAAAATCTAAAAAGAACCATTTTTTCTTATCCTTGAAATGATTATATATGTGTAGGTCATAATCATCAATACTCAAATCCACACAGACTTGGATCCTTACTAGATAGCAAACACATGCTTTAAGAAAAGAATTCCTAATTATTTTGAAAAGTTCAGCTATCAAATCACAAATAGTTTGTTTATCTAAAGAAATATTTTTTTTGCAAATAGTAGCGCTAATATATATCTTAAAAACATAAACAAACTAATCAAAAAATAATAATCGACCTAGGACAAAAGTGTTGAAACTTTAAATGTGTGAATCTTTAATTTTTAAAGATAGGCTTTTAAGAGATCAAAATTTTGATTCTTTAGTTGCGCCAAATTTGATGTGGGATAAAATGAATAGTTCCATTAAGAAGTTTGTCGTAGAAAAATTAATTGATTCATAAATTTATCTTTCATAATTATAATCATATACAAAAGATTAATGATAATAATAATAAATCCTTTTGAAGAGTGATAGAATAGTATCATTTACAAAATCCTCAAATTAGTCTGAAAGTTTTGTATTGCCCCAATTTAGTCCCTCAATTATTAAAAATTATCCAATTTGGTCCTTTGGTTAAATTTGTCTTTTAAATTAATGGAAAAAGCTGGAGAGCTAGCTTTGCTTTTTTCTAGGAATTTAGGTAAAATTACTTGTTACATGCTCTCTCATCTTCTTGTTGTAAGCCCTGGAGACCAAATTGTGTGAGGGAGAAGCTGCGAACAAGACAATGCGAGCTAGCAAGACAATGTCTGCTCGCTCGCGATATGCGGTGCGGCGTGCTTCGATTCACATTCCAGATTTATGTGCAGTTGCGAGACATATAATGCATGGCGAGCGAGACACCCTACGGGGCTGTTTGGATATAGTAAGAAAGATGGCTACCTTCACAACGAGCAAGCCCCCGTAGTTGCTTCCAATCCTACAGAAGAACGACGAGGAGGTGTGACTTCAAATCCGACAGGAAGGAACATTATCAAAGGAGGCGAAGAAGTTATTTAGTGACTCATTCAAAACGCTACCTCTCACGCAAAGCAGATGATGTTGAAGAGCAACAAACAGCTAGAGAAGAGGAAAAGCAAACTTTTGGCTATAGTAAGATAGCAGAATAGGCATCGTCAAAGAAATATAACATAGAAACAAATTAATTTAGTTTAACTAATTTAATTAAAATTAATTAAGAATATGATGTAATTAATAAATAATTAACTTAAATTTTAATTATATTATTTATAATGGTTAATTAATAATGTTAATTAAAACTAGTAATTAATAATAACTCATAAATAATTAAAAATATAATCAAAATTAAAATTAAAATTTATTTCATAATTAAATTATTTTCTAGCTATATTATTTTTTTAATTGTAATTTTTTAACGGAACTTAAAATTATAATTAATAAGTAATTTTCATTTAAAATGTAAATTAAAATTAAAACATAAATTAAATTTGATTTGTTAAAGAACTAAATGATATGAAATTGGCTTGTGATATTTTTATTATATTTAAATGATATGAAATTGTAATTTTTATCATGTTAGATTTTGCTTCAAAAAAATTTACTATTTATTCACCCTTATTATTTTATAGATTTAATATGTACTATAATTTATTAAATAATAAAATTGAACGATATACATAATATAATCTCATATCCTTATTTAGTACCTAAACTACCCTTCATATTTTAACTTTGGAGTTAATTTTAACTTTGGAGTTAATTTTAACTCTTATTTTAGGCTTTTGGATTAAATTGGCTCAATTTTTAATAGTTGAGGGACTAAATTAGAGTAATGCGAAACTCTGGGATTAAATTGGACATTTATCAATAATAGGGGGACTATTTTAGACTTTTACTTATTTAGAAATTTATCTTTATAATTATAATTATATACAAAATATTAATAATAATAGTAATAATAATAAATGCTTTTAAAGAGTGATAAAAATGGCATCCTTTACAAAATGATTATGCTGAAGCTATAAGTTTTATAAAGGAAGCATTAAGTGAAGCAAAAGCAATAGCATTCGGTGATTGATATAATTAGAGTATCTACTATGGAATGTCGAATGTGGATATATATAAAAAATCTGAAGATATATTAGGTCTTTGTTAAAGATGAAGGCATCAAGAAAGATGAAATTGTTATTTAAAAAAAAATTGTTTTATGTGAGAATTAACATAGAAATTCTTTTGGAAGAGCATAATGAATAAAGTGTTAGGGTATATTATAAGATGATCCAATAAAATGGAGTAGAGTAGGCACTAATGTGGATGCATAAAAACTGAGGATTTAAATCAGATGCCTATTGAGATTTGGAGTGTTAAATATGTTTAATAAAAAGTTTGAAGATCGAGATGGACCAAATGATTGGAACGAAATATTATTATAGCAATATTTATGAATTAAAGAGATGTTCATGCTTGTGATAATTCTAGGGGTATCAAGCTTATGAATTATACCGGAAAATTATCAAACAGTTATGAATCATAAATAGAAAAATTACGATGGTGTTGAAAATTCAATTTGTTTTAATGCTAAAAACTTCTACAGAAAGGCTATTTTTATGTTACGGCAATGGATAGAGAAGGCTATTTTTATGTTAAAGACAATTGATAGAAAAGTATACATTAGTAAAGAAAGTTTTTTTTTTAATAATTTTTGTTGTTTTTGAGATGAGAAGATTGAATATAATGAGAATTTATTTGATGTGCATTAAGAAAAAAAAAAAGATCCCTCAAAATTATGTTGAAATTATTAAAGAAATGCATAATGGCTCATCAACTAGTACGAATATTTGTGGGATGAATAGAAAGCTTCCAATTAATATGTTGAAGCTCAACATTTGGTTCATTTCCCTTTGTATTTATTATGAAAAAGCTTAAAAAGGGTCTTCAATGTGAGATACCTTCATGCATGTTCCTTTTATATAAAACAGTTCTTGTTCGTGAATTATGTTCTAAAATAAATTGAAAACCAGAGTAATAGAGAAAATATTATGAAGAGAAAAAATCTTAAATAGTAGAATTAAGATCGAATGATATTAATTATTATCAACCAATATTACTTGAAAATGAAGCAATACCTTAATGTGTTAGATTTAAATGTCTTAGATTTGTTATGCAGAAGCTAAGTAGATATGTGGAGTATTCTGTCAGTTTGCAGCTTAAGTGCAACTGAATACATTTACAGAAAGAAGCTTTTCTCAAGGCAATCTGGGTCTTTGGCTGGTTGAATCATCACTATTTTCTGAACAGCAATTCGCAGAATTAACGTTCTCCTAATACATGTATTTTCTCTTTCTAAAAAGAGTAACCTAAATTCCGCTTGTCTTTCTTTGATTATATTCGTAAGATAATTTTTGTACTAATGGCTTTACTTTCATATAGGAGATACTCCATGGAACTGTAAAGTATCTTGAAACCTTTAGTACTACAATCCTTCGTTGTAATTTGAATTATGTTCGTCACGTGCAAATCAAGTTCTTTAGTTTCTTTATTTCATTTTTGTTCTCATTTTAGCTGCCGGAAAAAACAAATTAAGCAGTTGATATATTGGATTTTTTTTCAGACTCGAAACTTTAGCAACAATGTTTACTGTTCACTGTAGCTTGCCAATTAACCTGCACAACAGAGCCGACCACGTACTTTTATATGCTTGACCGGTTCTCTTTAGCTTCCAGAAAACTTATATACTCAGTTTCATGAGGAAATTTTACCTATTGAAGATTCTGGTGCTAGACATCAATCTTATTTAAATTGAGTTAGACACCAATAGAATTTACATGGATTCAAAACATTTTTACTTTCTCTGCTTTTTCTAATACTTTCGTCTTCATTTTGGTTATGGGGAAATACTAGAGGCCCTTCTATAGTAAATTTGTCGATGTTCATCATAACATTTGTGGGTGATATCAAAATATTATTAATATACATACTTGATGTGTGAGAAGAGAGAAGCTTCGAGAATTTTATTAGATTTTTGAGTCAGAATATACAACAAGATTGATGTGACAGCTTGTGTTGATCTCATCCTATGAGCCCTTGTTTATGAATTTAGATCAGTGTTTAGGAATGTCTATAATTAAATAATAAGTTAAATTGCATTTGGAAGATTTGATGATAGTTGTTCTAAAACAAATAAGTCTTGTTTACTGACTATTATCTAGTGATTGGCATATTTTGTAGAGTTTAACATTGAAATTGAGTTCAATTGGATGAATTCCCTTGATGAGTCTTTTTAGATGAGTAAGCCGGTTACTTTGGCGAGTTCTTATAACAATTTCGCTGTAATGAAGAAAGTTGCTCTTGAGAACTGACGAATTAAATTATTGTATTCCATGGGAGAGTTCACAACTTTTATAATTCAAAGATGAGCAGATTAGGAGCCTTAATAAGAAGCTTCTTTTAGCAATTTGAAGATTTTAGCGAACTGGCTTAGTGTTGGCGACATTCTGAACCCGTTTCAGATTTACAATGATTTGATTAACTTGATCCACGCAACTATGTGCACATGCATATGCTCATTTTTTACTTCGATGATTTATTTCTATGTTCATAACATCATCCATTTTGAAAAAAGAAAAGGTCAATGCTCATTATATTATAGCTTCCAAAATGTGTTCATAAATAATTGCACAACCTTTCTTACATTCTTAAGTGTATCAAGTCCTTGATGTTGTTTGTACGTAGAACGTGTTGCTTGCCAGAGCCTAGAGTTTTAGGCTCGATTTACGGAAACAAATCTGTTGTAAAGTAGAAGTATGAGTGCGTACATCGATCTTTCCAAAGCCCTGTGCTGATCGGACATGTCACGCACTGAGTACACCTTTTATTTTGTATTTCGAATTTAACCAACTGTATCGAATACCCCTTTTTTTAATGGAATGTTTGAGCTTTGGTTGCTTTTTTTTTCTGTGCAAACAGATAGATTGTTCACTGTGCAGTGAAACTATTGAGCGTGAAGGTTGGTCTATTCATCAGGATGAAAAATGCCCAAAAAGAATTGCCACTTGTGAATTTTGTGAGTTTCCTTTGCCTGCATCTGATCTTCTCGAGCATCAGGTAACTAAGTCAACTTAACTTGGCACCCTATGTAAGTTTCATCCTTTCAAATGTCTTGATAAAACGCTAATTTTCTCTCAGGAAGTATGTGGGAACAGAACAGAACTCTGTCATAATTGTAACAAGTACATTAGGCTTCGTCAACTCATTACGCATGAATTTTACTGCCAGGCTCATTCAAATGGTGTAACAGAATCTTCTGGCTCTGGGTAAGTTTGTTAAATTTGAACTTTTAAATTCAAAATATCCTTCACACATTCTCTCTCTTTGGCATCAGTACTGTCAATGTCAATATGCTAGTGTGATGTGTAATCTCTATCCTTAAAAAATCCTAAAATGTCAAAAGTAGTTCTTGAGATAGGTTCTCACTGATTGCGCCTCTCGCCCCGAAAACATTGGGTCAGAGTAAGCCTTAATTAAATTTTGTTTAGGACGAGTCCCAGAATCCTTCGATTTAGGGTTTAAGATGAGTGTCATATGTAAATTATTAATATTATAATCATTTCAAATCATATTTAAAGATTTTCATACTCGTTCTAATTATTCTTCTAATCAGGATTTTGTGATACAAAATTTTTCATTCTCTGTGAAGACATGATATTAGAACTTCCACTACTAGAAGTAGGAACTCATGCAGTGGGAAAACAAAAGATCCCGTCTCCATCAAGGATGAGTTTGAAGTACTGTGGTTGGTTAAGAACTGCCAATCACCAACTTCAGACTTCTTTGATTAGAGTTGAGATCTTACATTTACTTGTGTGTTCTTTGATTAGGCTAAACCTAAATTGAATCGTATAAGCATGAACGTATTTACATTTGCATACATTCATACTGCTTCCATGCATATATGCAAGTCTAAGGCTTTGTTTGTGACGGCTTTCTTACCGCTTCTTAAAGCAGCTTTCTAGCACAAAAAATTTTTGAATTTGAAATTTTGTACTAAAAGGCCGCTTTAGAAAGCAGTAAGAAAGCTATCACAAACGAAACCTATGATTATCACAAAGAACGAAGATGAATAGTATTGATTTTTGGATCAAATAATGCGGCAAAGGTACCTTAGCCATTCTCCATGACTATGCTTGTCCCCTATTCATATCTGACTGAAATGTTTTTTTTTTTGATGTATTCATGTACCCATATGTCCATACAGGAATGAGTCGGTGGTTGACAGTGAAGGTATTCGGAGGAGGCAAATAAACAACTCTGATGGTTCTGTAAGAAGAAATGAAGAAAATGAGCCTGGAGAAGAAGCTGGTCGCAGGAGGAGGACACGTGGCTCATCCAAGAGGAGAATAATGTACACGATTGCCTTCGCAGGGTTTGCAATGCTCATAGGATCTTTTTTCCTATCAAGAAGAGGCTGAGGCTGAGGCTCAGAATGATAAAAAAACAGAATATAGTGTGATGTATATCAGTTCCCTTCTATATTTCGCTCTCTTATGATAAAGCTTTAAAATGTTATTTAAATCTTCAGATAATGAAATATCAAATGACATTTATATATATTTAATAGTGGTGAACACATTTCATATTTTTGTGGTTTATTTAAATGTTTCTACTTTATTTTTTTTCATGCACTTGTGATGAATGTACTAGTTATCAAATTCATCTTGATCATATATATATATATATATATATATATGGTCTTGAGCTGAGGATAATATAGATTTTGATTGATTGATTATTTATTATATTTGTCGTGTATTAGAAAATTTGTTGCAGTAGAGAAGTTTTAGCATATTAGTTTTGTATGAAAATCTGACATATATAGATAAAAGAGTTATAAAAGATACTTGAATTTTTATGCGAAAATTTTAAAGAAGAACTGTATCAGTTAAATGATTATGTCAATATGCATCATTGATTATAATGATGTCTATTCTCATAATTGCCAGAGAGATTGATATCATAAGAAGTTGGAAGAGCTTTATAACAGAATTATTTTAAAAGAGTTTATTTGCAGTATATTTTGTTCTCTTTTAAGGAGAGAATACTAAAAATTAATAAGTTTAGTACAAATATTTGTATTGATGTTAGGAGTCAGAGTTGATATCGATGGCATATATCAAATGTTAACCATTGAATCTATTTTGTACGGAAACAATTTTAATTTAAGCATATGCAATTTAAAGATGATTTGACTCTTCCATTAATGTCCCAAAATTTTCAACCACATTCTCATAAATTTGGGCGTGCATCAGATCACTTTTGAAATCTTTGAATTCATCTCAAGGCCTATAAGTTCATTAAACTTGAGAATTTGAATGATTTTAAATTTTATTTCAAAAATTTTCAATTTTAATATACATTGAGTTTCGTGCTATAAACGGACATATTGACCCGGATTGCAGTAATCTTTTGGTTGGTGGTAAAGCTGATGAAAGAGTGATAATGCAATTACAAGAAAAACATCCTTTGGAAGTTTTGCCATATTTAAATCATTAAATGGCATATTTATAAAAAAGTTTCGGAACCACATTTTGAAAATGAATCCCAATGGAAGAAAAAAATATATATGTTCCTGAATCTTTTCTGTCTGGCGATTTTAATTTAAAAAGAAGTTATTTTTCATGAATTAGTAAAGCATAAGCAAGCCATCATTGTTGTGGCTGATTTAAGCTTCGTTTGAGACAGTTTTATTACTGATTTTTAAAGCAGTTTTTTAATACATAAATTTAAATTTTTATATTAAAAAATTTTAAGGAGCAATAAAAAAGCTGTACCAAACATAACCTTAGCTTCATTTGAAGCAATCAATCATTAGCCTTTTCTAAAGAACTAAATATCGCTATAGCTAGTTATATCTTCCTATCATTAAAACAATCAAATGATTATCACCTGATTGTTTTTCTGTACAAATCAGCTTGAAGAACCGACTAAAGCAAACAAAATATTTTATTTAATAGGGTAGAACCTGCTCATGTTTGATTAAAACTGGACCAGTCATAGACAAAAATACTTCCACCCATAGCCATTTACTAACGGTCAAGTTTGATCGATTGAATATTTGAAGTATATGATACAAACTTTATTTGTTCATCAGAAAGGTGAAGGTGTAGAATACTAACAAATCATGGGTGCTGCTCACATGATTCAGCCAGCACAAGCAGAAATTCTAGAAGTTGCAGGAAACTGTGCTTCTTCAGAACCTGTGAACATGGAATTTTAATGAGTTTCTTCCTTATAAAAAGCTGGTTCAGCATGTTATAAAAAGCTGGTTCAGCATGAAAGAGCTTCCTGCACGTCTTTGTGAGTGAGTTGTCAAGAGGAAAAAAAAAAGGCAAACACATATTACACCAAGAATTTAGTAAGAACTCATCCAATTGATGGATGAGTGTACTTGCATCATCATCATCGCATATTTTACTATAGTTCTGATTGCAAAAATAACAAGCAAATGTTAGATATCATCTAGGAGCTCCGCTCCAAAACTACCATGAAGATTGATCCTAAACTAAGGCTTCGTTCGGGGTGACTTTCTTACTGCTTTTAATTTTTTACTAGAAAACTACTTTAACAAGCAGTAAAAAGTCGTTTCAGACATAACTTAAGTTCACTGTACGCAAAAATTAGGTTTCACAGCTGAGAGAGAGAGAGAGAAATTAGATGAGACATAATTCAACTTTTAAGAATAAATAAAACAAACACCCGAGAGATACCAATAATTTTATAAATTTCAATCAATTGATGGCTGTCATGTTGCGAACATTATAGATTTCAGGAGTTTTTACAACCCTAATACAGATATCAGTTAAAGATATAAATAATACATATCAATAATGATACTGCAATGCTAGCTTTGAAAAACTATGGAAGAAATATGATAGGAAGTAGATACAATTTCCTCGAAACCAACGAATAATAATAAGAAATTAGAAAGAACGCACCAAAAGTCTTTTTATTGCAAGATATATGAAAGAAAACAACAAGATACAATTAGATAGGAAGATCCAGTTCTCCCAAATCTTTAGCAGGCGGCTAGATCACTCACAACCTAAGAAATTCTAATTTCAACAAACTCAAAATATAATCCTAAAACCATCCTATTGTTAGACTTAAATAGGCTCCCATAATTCCCTCTCAAATTAGCCCCCTTTTCTTAAATAATTCCCTCTCAAGTTTGAATTCAATTTAGATTTATTTCCCTAATTAATTCTCTCTCAATTATAATTAAAACTTTTCTAAATAATCCCTCTTAATTCCTCCTCTTCCCTAAAAAATTCTCTTAGATTTTAAATTCAAATTAAATCTCTTATCATAAATAATTCCTTCACAATTATAATTAAAACATTCCTAAAAAATTCTCATTTGATTAAGATCCTTCCTAAACCGCTCTATCATGATTAGGAAATTTTCTAATTCTCTATCAATCAAATCGGCCGGTCCAGGAATACTCCTCTCCCAAAGTCACACCTTGTCCTCAAGGTGGAATGAAGTAAAATGCTACTAAAGTACTTGAATAATAGCATTGGACTGAAAAATGGACTGACACTAGGTCGAACGACCCCTGCCTCGAGCATCTCCTTAATTAAACTCTCAATCTCTTCATTTTGGATTTGGGGATGACGATACAGATGAAAACTAATAAGTGAGACTCCTTCCTCAAGATGATAGCATGCTCACATTCCCACGGAGGAGGCAACTCCTGAACTGGCTAGAACACCCCTCGATACTGATGTAGGGGTGACTGAACCATGTCTGGTGCTTCTATCTTCCCCCCATCCTATTCTCCTTCCAAACTTTGCACCTATACCAAAAATCCTAGTCTCCATGGAAGTGGCTCCAAATGTAGCATCTCCTCTTCTTCCCCTAATATTTTCACCTCCTGATTTTCCCCTCCTTATCGAATTAGAGTTTTCCCCACTTTGTTGGCGATGGCTTTCCTCTCCTTCGACGACACCATTTTGGTTTGGAACTCAAGCAACTTCCTAATCATCTCCTCTATGATGGCAAACTTTCCATCGATTTTCTCATGGATGGCTAAAAATTGCTTTTTGAAATATGAAATCTTTATAAAATCAAATTTCAATTGTCTGATCTCCCCTTCCAACATTTCTACATTTTTCTCGCTATAGGTACCCGGATCGTGCTCTGACACCAATTTAACAGGAAGTGGATACAATTTCCTCAAAATCAGAGAATGATAATAAGAAATTAGGAAGAACACACCAAAAGTCTTTTTATTTTAAGATATATGAAAGAAAACAACGAGATACAATTGAAGAGGAAGATCCGGCTCTCCCAAATCCCTAGCTAGCGGCTAGAGAACTCACAATCTAAGAAATTCTAATTTCAACAAACTAAAAATACAATCCTAAAAGCATCCTATTGTTAGCCTTAAATAGACTCCCATAATTCCCTTCCAAATTAGCCCCCTTTTCCTAAATAATTCCCTCTGAAGTTTGAATTCAAATTAGTTTTATTTTCCTAATTAATTTCCTCCCAATTATAATTAAACCTTTCCTAAATAATCCCCCTTAATTCCTCCTCGTCCTTAAATAATTCCCTCTTAGATTTTGAATTCAAATTAGATCTCTTGCCTAAATAATTCCTTTCCAATTATAATTAAAACATTTTTAAACAATTCACCTTTGATTAAGAACCTTCCTAAACAACTCTCTCTTGATTAGTAAATTTCCTAATTCTCTATTAATCAAATCAGTGAGTCCATCAAAATACCCCCATCATACAAATATTAAGGTTTCGTTTGGGACAGCTTTAGATCACTATTTTTTCATGCTTTCAAGATATTTTTTAACTAAAAAATAGCTTACAAAATAGTAAAAAAATCATCCCAAATGAAACGAAAAACAATTTCATGTACCTATTATAATTTTGCTGAGTAGCAAATGGAACTAGATCATAACACCTCCCAATTCTAGATGAACATGATTACAAATTTTGAATGCAAAATTTCTAGATTAATATCAATCAACAATAGACATTCTATAGCTAGCCACAATACTCCTAAAGAATCAACGGTGAAATATGTAATTATCATTTACATACAGAACCAAAATAGAACAAAGAACGGTTAATTCATATTCACTTAAATCCCGGCAGCAGTGAGAATGTTGACGGAAATTTATCGGATGTCAGAAAGGCCACTCAGACAATCGATCATAACGGGTTTACAGCGAATAGAAACCAAACTATATTAGAAATTGAGAACAATTTCAAAATAATCTTCAACTCTTAAGGGACATTTTAATATCTCTATCTAATATATTCAATTTAATCTTTTAACTCTTCAAATATGATACAAAGAAGTATTTCTGTTGTTTGATTTTAGATCAGATTTCAGAAGACAAGAGCTTAAACTAGACACATTAGATAGTCTATAACTAAAAAAGAAAAAAAAAACAATAATTTAGGTAATATTTGACCTTTTTCTCAATAGAAATTAGTATGATAAATCCCGTTTTATTTCAAGAAGCAAGTATGTAGTGAGGAGTATAGTAACCAAATGAAACGATGGATCCTTGATTAAGAATGTTCATAGAAATCCAAAGGGAGTTAAATTCTAGTAAGATCATGAAAATAAAAAATAAATAAATATATAAACATTACGTATATATCGAGTAATGTTAAAGTTGTAATGGTAAGAAGGATACAGGGCCAGAAACAAAGAAGTCGCCAGAGCAGGTTATGATAAGAGTTAATAGTAGGGGCTGAAGAGAAATTTCATGAAATGACATACAGGGCCAGGGCCAGGGCCAGCCCTTTATATGAATTGAAGTGTTCAGTAACAAAGAAGGCACAAACAACCAGGTAATCAAAGTGTCCAACAACAGCAGCAGCAACAACAAGCCATTTATCTCACTATGTAGAGTCAATTATACGAATTTTTTTCTATATTGCATCATGTTAAGGGTCAATTTTTTATTTAAATATAATAAAAAACGTCATTTATAATTCTTTATAATCAAGTCTTTTTAAGTCTACCTCTATCTTTTCTAACATAGGCTGGAACTAATAGATCTACTCTCCTAACAAGGTCATTAGAAAGCTGATATTTTATGTAAACAAACCATCTAAAGTGACTCTCTTTAATATTATCTGTCATTGAAGCTATTCCAACCTTTCCACATATATACTCATTCTACATTCTATCTCTAAGTGTAAATCCATTCATCCACCTAAGCATCCTCGTCTCTATAACACTTAACTTTATGCTTCTCTTTTAATGGCCAACATTCTGCGCCATAAAGCATTGCAAGTTTCATCACCATCTTATAAAATTTTTCCTTAAGTTTGAGGGGTACTTTTCTATCACAATAGGCCCGATGCACTCTTTCACTCTTTCACTTTAACCATCCAACATGAATTTTACTAATTATATCATCATCTATTTCTCCATCACTTTGAACAATAGACCAGACATATCTAAGAGACACTCTTTTTAATGACTTGATCACCCCATGACACCCCACAATTAGATCTATTACTATTAAAATTATACTCCATGTATTTGGTTTTGAAAAATTTACAGAAACAAAAACTTTTAGACTCTAAGGTTGACCTCCATAATTCAAGTTTTTCATCAACTCTCTCTCTCTCTCTCTCTCTCTCTAATCTAATCAAGAAGAAGAATATCATCAGTAAAAATCATACACCAAGGTACATGCTCTTGAAAATGTCTAATAAGAACGTCCATTACTAAAACAAAAGGATAAGAAAAACTTTTAGTCAGAAATGAGAAAAAAAAGTAAAATATGGATGTCTGGCAAAATTAAGATGGTAAAAATAAAAATAGCTAAACTACAACTAAGATCACTTGAAGCTCTCAACAATAATGAGCAAACAAGGGACTCAAAAAGTTGACCAAAATACCTGGAGGGATAAGGAAGCTACAACAAATGATATCATGAGATTTGAAAATCAATCACCGAAGTTAAAATTCAATCCCAAACTCAAGTCTAAAGCATACTCAAAGCAAACTCAAGGTCATGATCAAACTTCAAATGGTTGCATGGAACCACATTAAGGGCTACATTCAAAGGGAGGAGGAATTCAAGAAGCCTTCAATTTAGCCCCCAAAATACCACTCAAAACGAAAGAGAATATTAATAATTCAAAATATTTATCCAATAAAATGAGGTGTTTATCAAGATAAAGATATTTTCTTATTTGAAAAGAAATCATATGC